ACTAGATGATGAGTTACTTTGTTAAACTAGTAGTTGTGTGTAGTTACTAAAACTTGGTAAATAATATACCAGTATGACTGATGATGAGTTACTTTGTAAACTGTGTTGTGTGAGTTCAAAACTTGGTAAATAATATACCAGTATGGACTGATGATGAGTTACTTTTGTAAACTGTGTTGTGTGAGTTCAAAACTTGGTAAATAATATACCAGTATGGACTGATGATGAGTTACTTTTGTAAAATGTGTTGTGTGAGTTTAAAACTTGGTAAAAAATATACCAGTATGGACTGATGACGAGTTACTTTTGTAAACTGTGTTGTGTGAGTTTAAAACTTGGTAAATAATATACCAGTATGGACTGATGATGAGTTACTTTTGTAAACTGTGTTGTGTAAATCTTGTTATTTATATAAGGTTGATTTCTCTACTTCCAGTTTTTATATGGTTTATTTAATTTATTGTGTTACATCATTTTCTCCTTATATTTCAGTAGTGTATGATGGTTAGGCATTTAAATGGAATTTATGTTATCAACAAGTTAAAGATGAGTGAAAAAACTACTTTTTGTTAGCTACATATAGAATGCTATAACAGAACTCGACACCCAAAAGTTTCATTCTACATTTTGTCAATTACATTTAGAATCTTAGCAGAATTGAACCTTTACAACCAGGTTTTTTTATGTAATTTGGTTCTTTTTTGTTTTAGTGGCATTTTCTATTAAATTAGGATGTTTGAACTTATAATCGGTTTCTCACCTGCATAGAGAGGGTGGACTTCGTCAACTTACACTTCTTGATATTACTGAAGATCCCATGACACCCAGGTCACAAAAATCAGGTTAGTTTTAGTAATTCTGACAGTGATTAACTCTTTTATGAATTAAATCTGAATAGTGAAACGTGGTAAAACATTGGAACCAATAGGTTTGATAATCACAATCAAAATAATGCTAGACCTCATTGTATAATCTGTAGAGAAATTAATCCTGATTAATTATTAGTATTGTTAGTATTTTGTTCATGTTTGAAAAAAACAAAACTAAATTGTTTTTTAATGTTGAAGATGGTACACCTTAGATAAGAATGATCCTAGTATATTCAAAACAGAAAAATTAGTAATACCCACTATTAATGTGTGCCTTTAACAGATAAACTTATCAGTAGGTAAGATAAGTCTTAACCCTTTCGAGACGGGTCATGTGTGAAAGGCTACGTCACCCCTTTTATTGACTCGCATTCAACATTTTATTGAACTACTATTTCATTAATTTATACCAATAAGTTTGGTATCAAACTGTAGATTATAATTCAAATTTTAGTACTGTATATTACTCAATTTCTTAATTTAAAAACAAATATTAAAAAAACAGATAAACATTGATTTTTGTGTTTCACATGGTATGTTGAATGCAGCACTGGTTCAAATTTGATGTCTGTGAAGTCAAAATACTAAGTCTGTAGTTTCATACAAATTAGAAACGCAAATTACCAATATTAACAAGCT